TACCTGGAAAATCAATGTTTTGGCTGTAACATACAGGTTCAAGCAGTAAATGATCACACAGTAAATGTAATACATGACTCATAGGTCATCCCTTCATTGTGAAAGTATTGCAATCATACCCGGTCTCCCCTGTGAGTGCTGTGACTGACAGGTTAATGTAAAACAATGACTGATGTCAGTTTCTGTTCAGGCGTGTGCTGCATAAGAGTTAAGTCCAAAGTCCAACCACGAGGTGGCAGTGTCACATAATAAAGGGAGGCAGCTGTTGAGACAAAACCGAATAGCTTAATTTGACTTTAACAGTGAGCTTAGCATTATTCCATGTCTCCACACAAAGGCCAAACACTCCTATTTAAATTACACACCTGACGCGCATCCCTGTGCAGACTTGCATCAGTGCTGCCTTCAGGGTACAAACGCCCTACAGAGGATGAGGAGTAAATGTGCTGCAGATAATTGCAGACAAGCCCTGGACAAATACATGTGATTGGCGGCTGTGATTCGACCTCTGATTAGTCAGTTTAGGATCAGATGCTCTGAAGGGCCGCCTACATCCTCCCTGCTGCCCAATGGGCTCGGTAGGAAAATACAAGTAGGGTGGACGTTATTCTTCCCCCTCCATCCCAACCCGGCTTTCCGGTATAAAAGCGGAGTTCAGCGGTAGTCGGTTGGGGAAAATTGTACTTTCCTTCCCGGCGGGTGGTGCAGAGCTTAAAGAAACTCTTTTTATCCAATCAGCACGCCAAGAAGCTTTTTCCTCAGGTCACCTCGTCGTTCAGGTCAGTCTGCATCCGTTTTAATCAGGGCTTTGACGTGAATATACTTCCTCTTTTTAGTATCAGGAAGTCAAGGTCATATTGATATATATGTGTGTGTGTGTGTGTGTGTGGTGTTTCAATGCGGCAGAATTAGGATGATAAATCACAATGATCGATATATAATGTGTGTAATATTCGGTGATACAAGTGAGGATCTGTGTAGCGGATGAGCTGAGAAACAGGGCGGCCTCTGTTTCATCATATTTCCTGCCTAGCTGCACTCTAGTGTGTGTGTGTGTGTGTGCGCGCGCGCGCGTGGTTATGAATTGGCCGCCTTTGTATCCATGCTGACTGTACAGACCTGTGTTTCAGAGTGCATTAGGCCCTGGATCTGGCTTTGTGTTTGCTGCATCTGATCAATATATTTCCTGCATCCTTCCTCCTGCAGATCAGCCACCTATCTCAAACCCCAAGCAGCTCTGCCTTAATATCACCACCTGCCAGCTTTACTCTGTAACCAAGCCAACCTAAAGCCTTCAAAATGATGCAGATCAGCAGCGACTCCGCCAGCAACAAGCACTCTCTCATCAACGTCATGCACCGCTTCATAGCAGCTGCCAACAACATGGACGAGACCATCATGGTGCCAAGCCTGCTCCGAGACTTGCCGCTGGAGGAGCAGGCGCCCAGCGAGATGGAGCCCAACAACAACAATCAGGAGCCGCAGTGTTCCAACAAGCAGAGAGACATGTACGAGCACTACCTGCTCCTCAAATCCATAAAGAACGACATGGAGTGGGGCATGCTGAAGAAGGAGATGAGCAGCGGTGCCAGCTTCCTGGAGATGGCGGTGAAGCAGGAAGAGCAGCAGCAGCCGGTCACTGGAGACCTGCTCCCAGCTGACAACGCGGACCTGGAGGATCAGTTTCACTATCACCTCAGAGGACTATTCGGAGTTCTGTCCAAGCTCACAACGCAAGCCGACAACCTCACCAACAGGTACAAGAGGGAAATCGGAGGCGGAAACTTCATGAGATAGAAGTCACTACTTTTTCTTTTCCACCCCCCAGACTGCTTAACTTGCACAATGGGATGTGTTGAGAAGGCCCCCATCTCTTCCTACTAGATCTCAATGGACAGTGAACTGACCAGGGCGACCACTTTGTGACTTCTCTCACTCCTGAGTAGCGACACTCCAACGTCCCCCACCAAAAAACGTACCTGAAACCAGTGACACCTGCACGTGTCCCTCTGCCTGAGGTCGACACTTTGTGCTTGGTGGAGGTTTATTGAATCTGTTCCAAGTCCAGATGAAGCGCAGCTCTGATTTATGCAGACATTGTCCTTCCCTCTTATTTTTATTTCATTTTTATTTTGTCTTTTCATTTCAAGTATGATCACGAGTTTGTCACCAGATTGTGAATAAATGGTCTCTGACTGTAGGAGAAGTTGAATGCTGGTTATTCTGTCCCTCCTTTTTTAAAAATTTTAATGCTGAGCTGAAGGGCTCTTTACCTGCTGAGATTTTAATCTATCCAACTGTAACATGGCGTGCCTTGACTTTTGTATACCCTCATGCCCTGTTCAGTTACTGCCCATTGTCTGCTTGAATGGTTCATCAAGGTGTTCATGATAAAATGATTTCTTTGTTTGCCCTCGGATATTTCAATATTTTCTTTTTTATTTTTATTAAAGCAGTAAAACTGAAATAAATAATTGGAAACATGATGTTTTGCTTCCTTGTTTGTCACTGCTAACAGGAAGGATGTTGAAAGCGTTGCTGCCCTCTCCTCTCGTAGCTCACTTACAAAACAAATGTTTTTTTTCTTGTCCTCAGAGCTGTGCAGGAATGTGTTTATGATGCATTTTGACATGCCGTAACATGAAAACTACAACAGCCTCGACTCGCAGTTTCCTGTATGTAGGGCGAGTTTAGCAGCTTTACTCAGTGTCGCTGTTAGAGGATTTAAAAGTGCTTTGCTGAGGATTTACCTAAAGGAGAAGACGTACGTAAAGAGGTGCCGCGAAAAGAGGTCATGGCTCTCGAGCTTAATTTGATTAACACATTTCACATCATCGCTATTTCATGCAAATGTAAAGTAAATGCTGAAAGGCAAATCACCTGAAAGAATAGCTTGCAGCTTATTAACCCATGTGGGTGCAGTGAAGCTAATATTTATGTGGCACTCTGTTTGCCTACAATGTAGATGCAATTTAGCGCAAATAACTTAAGTTTTTAACAAATATAGGTATTGCAATTGAATCTAAGTTGACTATTTGGACTTCCTTAGTGTCTTTAGAAAATGGCGGATAATTACAGAACAGTTTTTGCATAAATTTCCTTTACAATCTGCTTATTTTTAAGAAATTAACTACATACACCTGTGCTCATATTGTCATGTTACAAAGTGTCAGGATGCAACAAACTCAGCATGCACCTTATTTTTTGTTTTACTTCCCCTCTTAATTTTGTTGACCTTTACAGTCCTAATCAGCTCATATGGTGGGAACAACAGCTGCAAGAGGGTCATAAAATGTGTAAAGTGCATTGACCCATCAGAAATGATAAGACGTTATTTAGGTGAGACAATAAGCTTGATTAAAAAAAATAAATAAATGGCACCCTGGTGGCACAGAGAGCACGGGTCTTTTTCACCTCTGCAGGAGTTTGTGGAGATTTAGAGGCTATCGATCACACATATCTGCAGCCTTGTCACACCAAACATGATGCCAGTGGAGTATAAATGAAGCATTAAATTGATATATGTGTTGCTCAAACTGGTTGCCCCACAGCTGCCACATCTATCCATCACCGGGTGAAATGTTCCCCTTAGCAACAGCTCCACCAAGAACAGCCAATCCGGTCGCAAAGGTTTTTTTTTTTTTTTTTTCTCCTCTCAAAGGCACAGTGGTGATTAAGAGATTGTGGTGTGATAAAGGGCATCCAGGAGGCGAGTGGAGGGCAGACATGGTCAAACAAACTGGTGCTCCTCTGACCAGCAGCTCAGAGCATGCCTGGGTTGGAGAGTTTGCATAAAAAGTGCTGCATGAGCCCTGTGGTGCGAGGCTGCAGCCCTCCTCTGTTCTTTCCCCCGCTCACAATAGGCCATACAAATGGCTACAAATCAAAATGGCTGTGCTGGTCAGTGAGTCTCAGCCCACTCAGATAACTGGGTCAACTAAGCTGGTGACAGCTGGCCAGATTGTGAATGTGAACAGAAACTGGGTTTTCTATTCTTTTGAACTGAAATTTGCAAAATACAACAATCAAATCTACAAATTTTCTATTAAATCTATAACTGAGTCCCAACTTAAGACAAAGCTCAACATTTTGGGAAATCTGCCTGTAGAGTGGTGCAGAAATGAGTCATAAAACCTAGAAATGAATTAGCATTTTAGCACTCTAAATCACTTCCAGTTCCCTTATATTGAGGTCAATGAGTTTTTTGAATGGGTTTTTGGTTAGACAACTGATATAAGGTCTGTAGTTAACACAAGCTTAAGAGACTTTAATGTTTTTTTTTCTACAACATAAAATACATTTCTTGCCAAGAGTCAGATAAGAACAATACCACTCATGTTTGTCAAATATGAAGCTACAGCCAGTGGCCGGTTAGCTTAGCTTAGCATAAACACTGGAAACAAGGGGAAACAGCTAGCCTGGCTCTGTCCAGTGGTGACAAAATTCACCTACCAGCACATCTAAAGCTAACAAATGAACACTTTAAATCTTGTTTGTTTAATTTGTACAAAAACCAAAGTGTAGAAAAAGAAAATTTGCTGTGTTAATATTAATTATGTATCAGATAGTTTTTTTGGCTCAGAACTGTTGCTAGGCAACCAGCAGAGTCTCCAGGATGTTTCTGCTCCCAGCCAAGAAATAGTCCAGCACACAGTCCATGTGGGGTTTATTACTCAGTCTGTGTAAGGATTAAACAAATGAGGTAAAACCAAGTGGCAACCTCCAGGGCAGAAAAATGAAGCTAACATGAAAGTGATGAATACAACATTTCCTAAATGGCCACTTGAGGCTGGCTCAATAGACCCCCATGTTAGATCCCTCAACTTTACAGCTGAAATTAACATGTTTACAGCCTGGTACAAAAAAACAGCTGCTGTCTCTATAGCTAATTTCCCTCTTTATGACAACTATATGGGGTTTAATTTTACATAACTCACCTGTTTAAATATTATTGAGACTTAAAGTTAATGTTGGTTTGGTAATGTAACCATAGTGTAGCCATAGACTTAGCCATAGCGGTCGCTGTTTCGGTGTGTTTTTAGACCATTAAAGTTAATTGTAATACTTGGTGGGCTAGAAAGTTTTGTGCAGCGTTTGGTTTTACTAAAAGACCCTCTAAGGAGTCAGATATCCGGTAAGTTCATGTTGTTTTAATGGTTTTAAGCCTGTTTTACTCTAGCGAACGTTAGCATTAGCATTATTACAGTTAACAATAGCTGTCAATGCACCGTGCTAACCAAGCTAGCAGCTAGTAATATGGTTAGCTCCCCTTCTGGCTTCAAAAATAAAATATAGCAACAGCTAAAATACCGAGCCTGAGACTTCAAAATGGAAGTCCACAAACCAGTGGGTGGCTAAGACCATTTTTTAATGTAGCCTGTGGATAAAACGTGAAATTAGTGAACTGTACGTCAGCTTCCTTATTTTCTTACTTTAAGACAAAGCCAGGTTAGCTGTTTCCCCAGCCTGTATGCTAAGCTAAGCTAACGTAAGCTAACCAGCTGCTAGCTGTGGCCCTGTCTTTAACAGACAGATACAGGAGTGGTATTACTCTTCTTATCTGACTATATTCCTGTTAGATTATTTCTTTAACAATATTAACTGTCTGATGATACTTGTCTGGATTTAAGAACAATATGTTATGGCAGCTATTTGTACATGACAGTAAATATTATCAGATATTTCTTGCAGTAAATGACTAATATGTCCTCAAGCATATGCTTTGAAGCTGTGTTTTCCATCCCACGCTCCATTTAAACAAATCTGAAAGGGCTTGAACCATGACATTGATATTCTGAAATATAGCCCCGACTGCCAGCATGTACAAGTCTTCCCAAGTCACGTTAATGTCTTGAGAAACCTGAGAGCAAATGGCTGCAACCACCCAGTACACTGCAGTTTTGAAATGGCTCCAGAGTTGAGAGGAGGATGTGCTGTGTCATCATACTGTGCAGCCATTTATAAAACTATTTAAAACTCTATATTCTAAAGAGGTGACTGACATTTAATGTGAGGCGTTGTATAAATCAGACCCCTAATGTAAACAGCTGTTTAGATGTCTGATATCTTTGTTGGTGCTGGCGTGCTGCAAGGTCTTTGGGGTTCAGTGCAATGTGACAGACAGATCTTGGGACATGGGAGACAGTTGGTGTTGAAAGGTCTCCTGAAGCGCTGTGCGGTTGGCAGGTCTTCACCCTACGTCGCCTGCCAGCATGAGCCTGCGTGATCACAGACTTGGCAAGACAATGGCAGTGTCTGCTGTCCCTTTTCAGTTATCTGCTCCACCTCGGCTACACTGTCTCTTGCTCAACAGCTGTAAAGCTCCTACCTGACGGATAAGGCCCCAGACAGCCACACAGAGCTGAGATAATCACTTTACGCAGCATGACAAGTTAACCTGATACAGGTGACGTCTAAGGGTCAATAATGTGACTCTAAATAAAGATTTATATCTTTGTAGTGGTGCATTTACAACACCAATATGTACCTAGCAGCCACGCCTACACCCTGTTGGCTCTTATCATCTGGTCAGTTTCTGCACTTTCTATAGTAACAGCACTGCTCCCTGAGTAAACACTGGAGTTCATTCACTGTTGTTTGCTCTAATATCCAGTCACGTTTCAGTAAACCTTTAAGTTTAACTGTGAACTCCAACAAAAGACACAAATATGTGACTGTCAGCTTAAAGCCCTTGGGGGATTTGGATTTAACAAAGGAAAACCTTTGCTCAATTTAAAGGTGTGATGTGTGGCCCATTGTCTGGCCACACGCTCTGAACTAATGGCATGGCATTTCACCTCCAAGCCAACTACTAACTGACAGCAGGGAAAGGATATGTAGATTTCGACCAAACTGATGAAGTCTGGGAGATGGTCAAAATAACACTGTTATGTTATAATCTTTACGTGTGGTGTCAGCCTGCAGTTCATGTTGTAGTTTTAGCTCAGAACCATAATAGCAAGAAATCAGCCACATCAAAACCATACACCAACGGCTTTTGGAATATTTTTCAGTACAGTTTGTGTTGTGATAGTTGTACTGTCTTCTCGCGTCCAGGCTTGTCAATATTCTTTGCCCTTAAACACTAGACTTTGAATTTTGGGTTTCAGATTTAAGATTATCTAGCTATGCATCTATTTTAGCTTTGACCAATGCCTGGATTGAGACAACAATTTATGATCACGTACTAGAACAAGTGACGAAGTGTAGGCCTGCAAGATAGCTTAGTCTAGCTTGTGTTTTCGTCATCTCATGTTGGACTAAGGGCAGACTGGACGCTACAGTGACTCACTGTCAAAGTGTAGGAATCACTGTGACGTTGCGTTAACAGCAACAGTCACATCCAGGTAGAAAACTGGCAATTGATTCCTATTGCAGACATGTAAAATCGGCAAACTTGTTGGTTTCTGTTGTCATTTTCAGCTGCAACTGCAATATTTAAAGATATATAGTTAAACACAGTGGTCAGACCTATCTGATGTTTATGCTCTGCTTGTTTTATGTACTCTGTTGCTTTAATATCATGTTTGATAAACTAAATCTACTGGCACAGAAGCTAAAAAATGTACTACTGTGGACAGGGCCACAGCAAAAATGTACTTTAGCCACCTAAAAAAATATATATATATCTGTGTAATTGTACACTATATTTGAATATTTGCTCTACTTTACCTTTCACAGCAACCAATCGACGCAGCAGTAGACAACTCCTGTGTTCTGCCATGTAAAATGACTGTTTTTGTCAGTGGAGTCAGGTGGCTTTGATATAATGGCTTCAGTGATACGCAGGAAAAAACTGATGGCAAGGTAAGGCAGTGAAAATACTAATAATATAACGTACACTTAAACTAATATTGTTTTTGTTTTTTTTAATGGCTAAAACGTAACTAATTAAGGCAACGTCGACTTAGTGCTGTTTTAAATGCATGTCACACAAAGATTTGCTCCCTGGAAGTTGCTGTAAATAAACATTGTGACTCAGGCTAGCAGGTCAGCATGCTCTTCTCAGTAGATATCTCTGCAACACTACACAGACGTCTTTGACATAAAGTCAGAACTGAAACTTCACATTCTTTTGCATTTCTTCTTCTTCTGTATTTCTATAATGTACAAAACACGCCTTTATTAAAAGCAAAAGTCCTGCATTCAACATTTAACCACAGAAGAAGTGCAAAGATTCCTGCTGCAAAATGTATTTAAAGTAAAAGTATTCATTAGGCAACAGAATCATCAACATGAAAGCAGCATGTTATTGTTTCAACTGGTTGCAGTGGAGATAATATTAACTAATTTATATGCTGTTGTTTAATTTATATCATAATATTTTATCAGCTGATTATACACGGAGAGGCCAACAGCTCTTATCTGAGGTGTCACTTTTATAAAGGTGCAGTTTATGATGGAGCTGTTGCATGAATTACATGTGATTGCACAGGTGTACCTAATAAAGTGGCCAGTGGTTTATGATGTTTATCATGGAAAAAAATGGGCAATTAGTCGTGAAAGTAAATGTCAAATAAATGTAGTAGAAAGTGTTAATATTCAAGCAGTGTGGCACTTGAGTAAATGTCCTTAGTTACATTCAGCCAGGTGAACCTGAAGGGGCTGTCCAGCCGGTGATTAACTTGGTCCCAGGGTAACGGTTGCTTGTGGTTAAAACAGGTTTGTTGTGTAATGTAATGTGTTGTATGTTGCCCGCATGCAGCGGAGTCAGTGTTGCTAGGCGTTGCCATGGTGTAAAACTGTCTCATGTGAAAGACGGTGAAGCCCACATCTTTGTGCACGGCTCAGACCTACAATATGCGTCCTTGTTGTGCTGCTGCAGGGGTAATGAGAACCAGCATGCTCACTGATGTCATTAACATTTCTGTGTATTTGACATTGAGCAGCAGAAAACATCCGTGAGGAAAACAGATTTCTGCAGAGTTGTTTCTATGAGGTTTTCATTCATCACTCAGAGAGACTCCCCTCCAGCTATACAAAATGTTATGTAATGATAAATCGGAAGCGTGGACTCAAGTCACATGACATGGATTCAGATCAGACTAGAGTCACAGTTGATGACTTTAAACCAAAAAGACTTGCAGCTTGACTTGGACTTTAACACTGATGACTTGTGACTTCATTTGGACTTGAGTCTTTTGGCTTAACTTTATAACTTCCTTCAAGCCAATGGGAAGATAGTTAGAGACTGTTCTTTACTTATCGAAGAAGGGGGGTGGCTTTGGTGTTGTCTTTCTATTTTTATTATATTTTGACCCTACTTGAAGCTTCAATTTTTTTTCCATGAGCCTCCTTGAGTTACCTTCCCTCCACCATAAATTAGTTATTCAATTTAAAAAAAACTTACCCTTTGATATTTGAAAGTTAAGAGAAAATGTTGAAGACCAAAATCTGAAGTTGAAAAAAGTCTTGGTTTTTCACTCTTGCCGTGCATGCAGGTTAGTTTGGGCAAACGGTTAATTTTCAACCAAATCTTTAATGAGACATAAAATAGAGTGTTTTAGATGAAATATCACTATTTTAAACTCAGATTTGGTTATGTCTTTGTTCTGATTGAAGCGTCTGTCACACATGATGTGTCCAAGGACCTTTGGAAATTTGAAAATCCAACAATAATTTTTGTTTTTACAGTTTCTGGCTATGATAAATGGTGTGATTGTGGTGATATTTTTACAGAAAACATGCCTTCCAAACGCACCCGTAGGCAGGTTTGGAAGGCATGTTTTCTGTAAAAATCTGCAATAAAAAAAAAAAAAAAAAATACAACCATTTAAATTTGTACGCCTCTCTCAAGCCAAAATAAAAAAAACTTAAGTTTGACATACATCCCCCATTTTGCACCACCCCCTCCCTGCTCATAAATAACGAACAGTCCCTTATAGATGCTTTTCCAATATGACATGGAACTTGAGTTTAAAGACTTAAGACTCACTTGTGACTTGCAAAACAATGACTTGGTCCCACCTCGGTGATAAAGTAATATTCTTCTTTCAAGTGTTTTTAGAGAATGCAGTTTAGAAATGATGTAACATACAACTGAAACAGATACCAGGAAGTGAAAACTGTCCCTTGTTTGTGTTTGGCTCCATATCAACTTTGTTCTGTGATCAATGAGTATATAAATGTGTAACCTATTGTCTCCTTGGCTTTCGCTTCAGTCAACAGCCACTGTTTGGATTAAGGTCTGAATGTAGATCACGCATATAGGAAGTGATTTTAGTCATGTAATCAGGTTTTGAGGTATTTTGGGACCAACTTTTGAATGGGGGCCAGACTGAGGCATTGATTTTAAAGAGGGGAGGCCCTGGAGCTTCATTACAGAAACTTCCTTAGCCTGAAATCTTATATTTAATTTAGGATGACAATAATTAAGAGGAAAACTTCCAAAAAAGATGGGGTTTCCTCTCTTCCACTGACACGATTAGTGGCCCAGACTCCTCGTAGCTAAAATTAAACACCCCATCTTTTTTTGGTCCATGATAGCAAGCCAGCCAGTAACGTGTGAGAGCTGCTGATATTATAGCTTGTCCATCGTGTATGGCCCATGGTACTCTGTAAACATAGATACAGGCATGACAGGGTGAGTGCAGACTGAAAAACTGAATTTACAGTTGTAGTTATGATTTCCTAATCAGGTTAAGATAAGACAGGAGGTCAGAGATACGACAGGACACAGATGTGAGTTAAAGATAGGAAGATAGGGTTTTCTTAGGACAGGACAAGCACGTAGGATTTCTTTTTGTAATGAGGCCCCTGATTCTTAGAAAAATAAACTATTATCCTTTGTTGATAGTTACGTTGTTCATTCAGTGTAAATATTCTAATATGAAGCCATATCAGTGAATAGCTGGTTCTTGTCCTTCTAAGTAGCCTCCAGCCATAGGCAGATTATAAGAAAATGAAGTATAACATGACGTAAAATGCTCCCCACCCTGCCTACAGAGGAGCACGACACTTAGATTGAAGGATACATTACATGTTTTGTACGTCTTTGTGGTCATTTTTCAGTAACTTTTCATTTTTCTGAACACTAATAAAGGAGCCATTCTCCATGGTGAGTGCTTTACTTTGGTACTTTAAGTAAATGTTGCATATTATACCTTTAATTTGAGGTCCGGTGTGTAGGATTTAAAGGATATTTTAGCATTAAAGGAATATAATATAATAAGCATGTATTCTTTAGTTTATAATCACCTGAAAATAAAAATTGTTGTGTTTTTGTTACCTTAGAATGAGCCATTATTATCTACTTAGAGAGTGGGTCCTCATCTACAGAGTCGGCCATGTTGCACCGCCATGTTTCTACAGTAGCCCAGAATGGACAAACCATACTCCGGTTCTAGACAGGGTGATTAATGTTTTTGCATCAACCGCCATAGTTAAAGGCGCTGTATATAAGAATGTGGCCAAAACGGTTACTGCACTCAAATTCAAAATACTGCCGCCTTTCATGTCCGCCCCCCCTCCCCTACAGATTCGAGGTTGCTGGACAGCGGCACGCTGGAGACTGATTTGTTAGCCCATGGGCGGCTGCCGTGGCAGGGCTGCGTCACCGTGTCCTTGATCTTCGGTTTTCCAGCGGTCCGTTCGAGCAAGTCCGGCTTCTCTGCTGCTAACGCTGCTGCCAGGATACAGCAGAGGAGCCGGCTGCTAATGCTATGTACTGGGACACTGCTAATGCTGCTTGCCGTGTTGCTGTAGCTCAGTTGTAACTGTAACTGATGCTGAGACTCTACTGACTGCGTGACTGGTAGACAGCGGTGGGTGGCGCAACAGGCCAAAACACAAATTCAAAACATAAACATGATTTGCGGACCGTAAAAAATTTTTTTAGATGCAAATGGGGGGGCGAACTCTGCGGACAATTTGGCTCCCAGTTAAAACTTCCTGAATGTCTTGCTCTGAAGAAAGCAAGAAAGAAAGAAAAGATGTGAGCCGAACAGTGTGGAAGAAAAAAAATAATTATAATGTGAAACTGCTTTATTCAGTGCTTTTACCAGTGTTAATCACCTGGTCGGTTTGTTTTTCCTGTTAAAACCTCCTGAACAATGAACACTGACAGAATCCTAACCAGGAGTTCATGCTTACCTGTAGTGCTGTATTTTAATCTAGATTGTTTTGGCATGAGTTGTCAACTGCTGGAGATATCGGATGCAGAGATGTCTGCCTTCTAGTGAATATAAGATAGCTCAGACGGAAGGAATTGTGCATCTACTCATGGAGAAGAGGCTCCTGCTTGCTGAGCTGTACCATTAGCTAGCTCAGTGGTGCTAGGTGAGTGAGCAGTAGATGCACGCTTCCTTCTGCAGGTGATACGGTTGGCGGGTGTAGTTCAGTAGAAAGAAAATAGCTCCCATGAAACTCTTTACAACAGTGTCTGTGGATTATCTTCAGTAACCAGGTCATGGTTTCTATAAAGAGACATTGCTGTTGAGTTTTTCAAATGTATTTGTTTGGCACTTTAAGCACCACAAGCTGAGTGCCATCTAGTTCCATTATATTAGAGAGAAGGCAGACATCTCTACAGCCGGTATCTCCAACACTCAGCGCCTCACACCAAAATATATGACTTTTTGATTTTTGGGTGACCATAAGTATCTACATACTTCTTTCACCACTAGTTGTGCAGACAAAAGCTGATGTTCTCTACAGCCAGAATTCTTTTAGTTATTATTCCTACATTATTTTTTTTTGCATTTGAACAAAGCCTCAGCCTGAACCTATTTGTATGGCACAGGACATTGCAACTTCAAATCTAGTGTGTTAAGAGTCTGGTCTGTCTGCCCAGTCTCCCAGCCTCAGCTCTTTTGTCTTGTCAGCATGGAGACGCAGATGTGAAGCTGGGAACACCATGTTCTCTTTTCGACGGAGGTTTTCCCACTGAACCCCAACAGCACAGAGGCACCACCCCTCCCCCTGCTTTTTTCCCTCTACTTTATGATAAGACCTGGGCTGCACTGATAGCTCTACGCTCTCCAGCTTTGGGAAAAGAATCAATCTTTGTGTTGTTTGGGTCACAGAGGGCATCCTCGCTGGTGAAACTTATTCCTCTGGCATGGGAGGAGAAAATACAGAATTCACTCAGATCACAATAAAGCCTGTTTTGTTTTGTTTTTCCACAGAAGAGAACCCATCTACCCACGGCGTTACTCGCGCAAACCCCTGGGACCACGTCACTGTGGTGAGGCGCGGGTGAACACCACACAGGATCAGTATGTACGGGGCTCTGTGTAGAGCATGCTGTATAGGGGAGGGATGTATGGTGTTATGTAAGAGGCGAGAGTGGGTGTGGAGTTCAGCTGGAGCAGCTTACAGCCTGACACTGAGTGTCTCTGAGTGCAAACAATCCCTTCAGCCCGGCCTTGTGTGCTGCTCACACACACTTAATGCTGTGCTTATAGGTCAGTGCAACCTTCTGTCAGCACACAATGTACACATGCATATAGAGTCAAGGTGGGGTTTAAGATGCTCTGTATGTGTTTTTTTTTTTTTTTTTTTTTTACTTTGTATGTTCCTCCAAAGATCACCTCTGTGAACTGTTTGAAGCCGTGTTAGCAGCACTCTGAGCTTTAAACATGCTGGTACAAGTAAAAGTCGTGTATGCAAAACTCTACTTAAGTCAATAAGTGCTATCAGTTTTATTGCAAAGTAGGTTTGCACACCAAGAGAAATTCTTTGTGTGCAAACCTACTCTGCAATTAAACTGTTTCTGATTGTGATCAGCTAAATGAACTTAAAGCATCAAAAGTAAAAGTATGTACTGGACAGAATAGCCCTTTTCAGAGTGTTATATTGGGAGTTTAATATATAATAATGCATCATATTGTTGGTAAAATTTATTCTGGAAAGTATCAGCTGTCAGATGAATGTAGAGGAATAAAAAGTATAATATTAACCCCTGAAATGTAAATGTTACTTTCCAGCACTGTCCTCATGTTTATACAACAATAGCACCCTGCTCCTCTGGTCCTGACTTTCCTGTAATTATCAGGTCGATAGGTGATAACCATCAGGGTCATTCCTCTCAGCTGGAGTCCTCGTGGTCAGCGAGGATCACTGTGAGATAAAAACACGGGGTCTCTGCAGGTCAGTGCTTGTGTCCGTCGCTGCATTTGATATAATCTGCAAGAGAAGAGGCACGACAATGACACGGCTGTGTCTGTGTTCACTAACAATAAAGCCCTCTGTTGCCAGTGGAGCTAATGGAAACCACTACAATCCACAGAAAACGCCATGATCAGATTTCCAGCATCAGAGTGTTTGTTTGCAGTGAAAGCTTTATCTTTTAATGAGAGGATTTCCTGGTTGTCAAGTGCTTTTATTTTTTTGTTTTTGCTGGTAGGAAACTGACAGGAAGTCAAATATGATGTAAGACAAAGAACAGAGAAGTGGCCCGTGTTGTTGTGTGTAGTTAATTGATTCACACACCCTTATGTGGAAATAGATAGTTACTCAATTTTAACCAGATTTTTATCTCTGGGTGAGTTTTTAAAGGCACGTGCAGGGTTACGTGTTGACTTCATACAGCAACACCAGCTTTGATACTTCAGCGCTTAAATGTTATCTAACACCTCAGCTGACAACTGAAGGGTGCTTTCAGACCTAGAGTTGTCTTGCTTTGGTCTGAATCAGGGACTAATTTTGTTACAAAGTTGTATAATTGCCTAGAGTTGGTTCATGTTCTCCAGGCAGCATTTACAAGCGGACCAGATCAAATGCCTGCGCAAGAAAGCTACTTCCAGAAAGTAGTGTGTAGGCTGTAACTACCATAAAATATTTTAGATACAAAAAAATCATAACTTTAAGGCATTTTAACACCTTCACAATATTTGCACACAGTTGCACAAATTTAACTCTCTGGTTTATTTAACTTTCATGGAGCTAGACAAACAGAGTCCAAAGTTTCTATTTTTTCTTTCCTTGAGTGACCAGGTTTTGTCAGGCCTGTACAGGCTGGCTGCAGCTTTGGCTGCAAACAGAAGCAACACAAACAGACTTCAACTGATGAGTCAACTGTTTTCAGGTATTACATGTCAACTTCTGTTGCATTTGCATTCATGGCTGAGATATCGACTGATACTTCAGGTGCTTTCATCACTCAGTCCTCAGCTGTGCTCACACTACATGTGACAAAGCAACAGCATGGCCTGCTACATTATCCCAGAAATGCTGTTAAAATGTTGCTCAAGCGTCATGGACCTGTGTGTGTCTGCTACTTGCCACAAAGCACGTCGACTAAACGTGATCTAAAGTTTGTTTTTGGTAAAAAAAAAATCTATTCTTTTGATCAGTGCCTGAGTGCCCATTTTAACATCACATTTCAATGCCCCATTTCATCCCCATGTGCACCGCAATGCACAGAAAGCTAGCATAGTGTCAGCTAACTAAGCTAGAGCTTATTTGTTGATGCCTCATTGAAATGCTAAAAAAGAAGTTGAGGCCAACTAAACTTTGATCCATCTACAACAACAAGTGTCAGGTGTCAGTTTGTAGCATCATGTTTCCAGCTTCCATTGAAAATGACCTGAGCGTGTTGCTGTGTTGCTTGCATGGATGTATAAAGAGACCTGGATACAGCATTAGCAGCAAGGCCTTGTTAATTCCCATGGAAGTTGCTCAGTGGTGCATGAAGCAGAAAACGTTCAAGTGCCGTGTTTAAAATTACCCAGATGATCAGCACTGCTCTGCACTGTGTGGCCCATAGATACCTATGAAGTGCTGACTGCAGACATACACGTTTTGTTGTTGGGTCCTATAATCTGCCAAACTCGTCCTCTCTTCTGATAGCTTGAAGCCATTTTGTCCTCCTTTGTGGTTCCGTTTTATTATTTGGTAAAATGTAAAACTTTAATTGTTTTTTTTTTTTTTTGTTTATTTGCGGTGCAAAAGGGCACACAGCAACTCTTCGGCATTGTGGCTAATGGCAGAGACCGGTTTGTTTTCCCCCTCGGCTCTAACCAGATGTGACGTTTGTGGGCGTTCCCGTCATTGCCGACTGTATCTATAGAGCAGGCAGAGACTTCTGCTGATGGAGCCGGCTACTTCCAGTTTAGCTTTTCACTTGCTTAGACTCTTTTAGACTTTTGAAATGTTATCAGGCCAAATAGATCAAATTCTGAAAGAAAAATGAGTCATTTTGTGGGGTTTATGATGCTTAAAAAATGAAGCCTGAGATTTATTTAGGTGTCTAGGTGTTTAGGTGTTTCGCCATGTAAGTCAATGGGAACATTTTTTTGGGCCCAGTGGCATCACATGACAGTAATTACCACACATAGCAACACAAAACTGCTTTGCTAGCTGTTGTTACTAAGATATCTGCTGGAAAGAATAATTTTTTCACGGGCCATTTAGTGAGTTTTTTTGACATGGCGGCGAAAGCTATATGAACGAGCTAATCCTAAAAATGCCGGCTATTTTGTTGCTTTCTGTTGACGTCACATCCCTCCTTGAGTATATCCAATCAGCACCAAGTAATCCCCAAGCCCCAGCCAGGAGTCTTTCGGGGCCGTTCTGAGTACCTACACCGAGGCAGGGACTTGTTTAGCCCCCGTAAAAAAGGTCCGGAACTCTGTCCCTCGGGGGTGGTCCCTGCGGTGGAGACACGCACCAACGGCCCCGGCCCCGTAAAATTACCCCGAAGTTCCTGTGGTGGAAACGGGCCTATAGACTTACACTGGGAAAAATCAGTGGACACATTTTTTTGAGCGTCACAGCCTCTGCAAAATGACTTGATCTGCTATCAGGGTTTAATCCATTTGGTCTGATAACATTTTGAAAGTCTAATTCAGTTATTTTATCTTCAGTCAAGTAAGCGGAGTGCTCCACCGGAAGTAAGCCACTTGGTCTGCTGAAGTTGGTTGCTTGGCTGCGCTTAGCCACGTTTGGCCATGCTCTGTGTTAGTATCTCTCTACTGCGCTGGGTAGTTTCATCTAGAACTGTTTTGGCTTCATGCACCACTGAGCAGCTTTCATAGGAATGAACAGGGCCCTGCCACCAATGTTGTATCCAGGTCTCTTTATACATCCATGGTGCCTATCTACAAAATGGCAACTCAGCTCAATACGGCGCTTAAAGTAACATTTCACAAGTTTTTAGCCAAAACCCTAACATTCAAGATAGTGGCTGTTTCAACATACCAAAGTTCCTGGGCCACTTAGTCTGCGAGGTGTCTCTGTTTTGACTCATGTTTCTGTTCCTTTTCTGAGGATGACAGTACTCACACAGGGCAGGGACGAAGTTGAATGAGGAATGAGGTCCTATTTCTACATATTCTCATTGTGTTCCTGTTACTACACTTTAACACTGCAATGCAAACAATCCAAAACTACACAAGGTATATATCGTCATTTATACACGACGACGTCCATGATCTTCTTTTGCCATGTGCACTAAACTGCCTTACCACCATACCTGGCGTAAATACCATGTGCCTGTATTCTAACACATAAAAAATCAATATAAAAACAACCTTAGCATAGTCCACTACCATACACTGTTCAAACTATACAGAAACAGCTGTGTAAACCTAAATAATAGCAGCACCTATATGATATGTCATATCCATACAGATGTGGTTAAGTGGCTCTTACATTCAACATCAACGGACACTACGACAGATGATTCTTAAACCACAACTTCCAAACAGTATTTATCATGCAACTGCCGACTCAACTGCTTTCAGTTCTTTTATGTTAAGTTTCAGTTAGTTTTATTTCTCACATTTCAGCTCACAGTTTGCTTTGAGCTCTGACATTTTTTTCTGACACTGCAGCTCCTTCAGTGCTTCAGTTTTAACTGAGACTAATTTCACAGGCAAATAATTAACATTTGAATCTTTTTACAGTGTCTGCACGTGTAGTTTTCAGTGTGGGCCTTCTCTGGTTCATTCAGCCTTCACGTGGCCGTAAACACAAAGTGCAAATAATTCTGATCAGACTTCAGGACAGTGTCTGGGTTACTGGGTTTCTTCTCATGCACGTGCAGGCCGGCTGAACGAGTTGGTGTGAAGCGAACTTATCGGCCTGAAATGCTGGCCCCACACCAAAAACCAACTCAGATGTCTAGACAAGGTCATCATACTTGCAACATAGCGAGGGGTAATGCATGACAGTGTTATTTTTCCCTGCTGGGGTTATATTTAGAGCTGACGGGGTGAGACCATCGGGCCACAGATAGCAACGGATTAAACACCACCATTAGATCTCTTGATATCAACACGAACAAAAGATGTTTAACAGCCTCTTTAGAGTGTTATTTCAAAGCCGTATGATTTATCAATATGTTTAAATGTCACAGTCAGACATTCAGCAGACTCCTCGCTGCGGAGAGAGAACACATTCATCCAAACCCTGCTGATCATAACAAAAGAGCCCTGTGTAGTCTCATGGGATGAAAGCTTCGGTTTGATCTGTCTGTTTCCCCACAGGACAATTCAGACAGATTACAGCGTTTATTTTTGTGTGTTTAGGATTCTGGTCAGCGAGCTGTTTCCAATGGGGACCAAGAGAAAAGGGGAAGTATCTAGACTGCACTTTAGATGCAAGCTAAGTGAGCAGGACTTCCCCCGTCTGTCTGTCAGTGTGCTTTCTTTCTTTCTTTCTTTTTTTTTTTTTTAAGAGGGGACTGTTACATAACCTGATCCGAGCACCATTAACAAAGACAGATGTCCTCATTAAACCCGAAGTGCATTATGAAACTAATTTCCTTGACAAACAACGTACAGAAAGGCACAAAATTATCATTAAGAATCTGAAAAGCCTTTAAAAGCATGTTGGCATGTGTTGCTTGGGTTTGATTTAAGAGTTATGTCAAAAGATTTGGTGAGAAGAGACAGAATATGGTTTATTTCAACACACTGGAAGCTTCCCCCCTCACTGAAACACACAGACAT